GTGGGCTGGGAGGTCCATCTTCTGTCTAAAATATTTTTTAAAATAGTGTCTCAGGAGCATGAGAGGTCAGGCCACAGACAGGGAGAATGTATTTGTAAAAGACTCATCTGATAAAGGCTGTTATCCAAACTGTGCAAGGAACTCTCAAAACAAGAAAATGAACAACCTGATTAAAAATGGAAAAAAGACCTGGACAGATACCCCAACAAAGAAGATACACAGATGGCAAATCTACACGTGGAAAGATGGCCCACATCTTATGTCATAGGGCGAGGCACCACTGCACACCCACCAGCCTGGTCAATACTGGAACTCTGACACGACCGTGAGCTAGTGGAAGTGTGGGCGTCAGGACCGTCACTCATAGCTGGGGGAAGTGGGGCAGCTGCTGTGGGAGGCAGTGTGGCAGTTTTCCATGGAACTAAGCACTCTGACCACAGAAGCAAATCACAGTCCTGGACGTTCACTCAGAGGAGCTGAAAATTTACTTCCACGAGGAAATGTGCACACAGATGTTGACAGCAGCTTTATAGCTTTATTTATAATTGCCAAAACTAGAAAGCAACCAAGATGTGCTTCAGTAAGTGAATGGATAAACTGTGTTACATCAGAAACTGGGATATTATTCAGCACTTAAAAGAACTGGACCACTAAGCCATGAAAAGACACGGATCTTAAACGCATGTTGCTGAGTGAGTCTCCAATCTGGACAGGCTGCCTGCTGTGTGAGTCCAACCGCAGGACAGTCTGGAAAAGGCAAAGTTGTGGAGACAGTAAAATGTCCAGCGGCTGCCAGGGGTTGGGGAAGGGAGGGATGAATGGGAGGAGCATAGGGGGATGTGTAGGGTGGGGAAGCAACTCCGGATGGGGCTTTCATGGGGGATCCATGCCGTTCCATGTCTGTGAAACCCACAGAGTGAGCAGCAGCAGGCCGAGCCCTCTTGTGAGCTGTGGACTCTGGGTGGTGGTGCCGTGTTGATGCGGGTCTGTCGGTTGTACAGAAGTGCTGCTCCGGTGGGGGCAGGAGAATGATGGAGGCTCTGCCTGTGCTGGGGAAGGAGATAGGTATGTGAGGACTCTGTACTTTCCTCCTGATTTTGCTGTGAACTGAAAACTGCTTTTAAAAATGTCTATTGAAAAGGCAAACAAAAGAGTACTGGCCAGACAGTATCTGTGTGAGGGTGTGGCCTGTGTTCTACGTTCAGTATTTCCCTGTTAGAATACACATATCTGAATTACTCAGAAGTTAAACCTTTGCATTAAGTAACTCACTACAAAGTTACAGTATCAGCTTGAGCGCTGCCAGGATGGCCAGGATCCTGTATCCTGACCAGCTTCTCCCCTTACAGGTGCAG